GACCGAACAAGTTAACATTCGCAAAGTACCGGGAGTAATGCCTGGCCCTTTATATGGGTTCCAGGAGGGAGAAAATAGCCCAAGTAATCTGATGGGAAGGCTTTATAAATTCATATGGAATTATATGGATTCCAGATAAAAGGAATAGTCACAAGTAGGGGAGAGGCAGAGTACCCAAGGGAAGACCAAGTTTAGAAGAGCCTTCCCTCCGTTAGCCCCATCCACCAAAGCTGAGACTCAGACCTTGCTGGGAAGGGTGTAGCTGTGCCCCCTTGACTCACTGAGGTGCAGCAGGCTGGGGCTGGCTAGCAGGAAGCTACCCACTGAGTTCTGAAGAGCAACAGGGTACTTCTCTCAGAGGTGCTGGCCAACTCACCAAGAATCCACCTATTGGGGTGCCACTGAATTCTCTGGAAATCCAGCATGGGCATCAGCTCAAGGAGACTCCTAATTACCTGGGCAGTCTATAAGGAGAACCACCAAACTGGAAGCTGGTTCAGGCAGTGTTTAATGGGGTCCACACCCTGCTGGACCAAGAACACAGGGATGCTCATGAAACCAGGATGAAAAGCCCCTTCCTACTGTAGCATCCTTCCAGGGGCAAAATTCTTTTGTCATGCCAGCTGGCAAAAGACAAGTATTTACAAGGGTCCAGCTCCAGTATGACAAGCAGGCAATCAAGAATGAATTTGGGAGTGAAAGCTGGTAACTAGGCATTCCCTTAGCAATTTAAGAGTATTGATTATTATATGACAAAATTTGCAATAGCCATGCAGCATACAAAAGACATTAAGGCCCATCTATCATCTCTGGTGTGGAAAGAACAAACTTTTACAAGAGCAGGCCCACCCAAACACATAGGGGTCCAGACTCTGGAGTAAGAGGACATGGATGTGAATCCTGGCTTTGCCTCATGCCAGAAGTCAAGCAGCTCACCTTACACCTTTGTGCTTCAGTTCCCCCATCTGTAACACCATAGGGTCAGTATAGAATTACATAAACTAACATATAAAATGCATGGAAGAATACATCTTTGTTTTCATTGTGTAATTGCTTAGTTTTTATTGGGTAAAAGCAAACACAATATTTATACTATTGTACAAAACCAGAAATGATATTGAGAGGTAAGAGGATAGATTTTCTCATTGGCAGGCCTGAGACATCCTTTTTATCATTCTCCTCAATTCGCAGGGCTCCCACTGTACCTGCGATTGCCAGTTACAATGTTCTCTTACCCACAACCCCTAATTAGGACAGACAATGATTTGCTCAGGTTAATTCACCCAATTAAGAGCAATGGCTTTCAACTGGGATACCCCCCCATACACACACATACACACACACCCCTCTGCAGGAGACATTTGGAAAAGTCTGGAGATGTTTCCGATTGTCACAACTGGGGCACAGAGGTGTTGACCAGGGATGTTGCTGAAACACCCTGCAGAGCAGAGCAGGATCTCAATGATAAAGAATTATCTAGCCCAAAATGTCAATAGTGCCAGTGTTAAAAAAAAAAAAACACACGTGATCTAGAGGTTCCATGGTTTGAATATCCCCTACCCCAAAAGCACATGCTGGACACAATCCCCAATGCAACAATCCCCAAGGCAAGGCCTAATGAGAAGTGTATGGGTAGGAGATCCCCGCTCTCATGAATGGATTAATGAGTTATAAAAGAGCTAGAGGTTGTGACTTCAGTCTTGCCCATCTGCTTCCATCATGGGATAGAGTAGCAAAAAGGCCTATGCCAGATGTGGGTCCCTCAAACTTGGGACTTCTCAAGTTTGTAACAAACTCATTCTGTTCTTCATAAATTACCAAGTCTCAAACACTGTTATAGCAAAGAGACTAAGACAAGAGGGTACTTAGGGATTTGGAAAAAGGGAACAGAGACAACACAAATAGGTCTGTACATGGTGATTCCTCCCCTATACCTGGGGTCTGAATGTACAATTTCTGATATCCTTAAGCTGCTGCTGTTATCTAGATTCAAGCTGATCCCCAGATCATCCAAACGAAATTAGGGGATTAGTTCCTCAAAGAGCTGCAATCTTGGCAAAAGGAAGCAATATTTGCTTTTCCCCATCTTTCACAAATATAGTATCTCTTAATTTCTGCGACATGTTCGTTTTCTAAACAACTTTCTCTTCTAAGCCTTGGCTCTCCAAATGCATACCTGGAGCTCAGCAGAATTTTACTAAGATAATGAGGGCTTTGGGATGAAAGAAGCAAAGGAAAATATGAGAAGCAACATTATAAAATGAAAACTGTTAAATAAACAAGTAGGGAAGAATACTGTAAAATTCTTTTTGTCTTAGCCACGGCCTACATCAGAAAGCATCCAGCTAGCAAATATGAAATGTGTATGGGCTGTCTGAGACAACACACATGTGAACAAAGAAAAATTAGCTTTTCTGTAACAATGTAAACCATATGTATTTCATGAGGCTGACAGGAATGTAAGTGAAAATGGCCCCTTTGAGGCTGCACCACCAACCAACTTCCGTGAATATGCAATTCTGGAAACAGCTGGAAACCATTTTTTTTTCCTGTTAGCTATTCATGATGTTTCTTTTCTTGGCTGTACTACATGCTTAAAATCCTGCATGCTAACTGCAGCCCTCAACAAAGACTCACTCATCCCCTATTCACTGACTCAGGAACCTGCAACTTGTTGACAGTTTTCAGGGAGAGTTTCAGCACAGGGGAAAATGACAAGATTTTCCATAATTAAAAAGCTCCTAGTGAACTTAGGAATACACATATGTAAGTCATTTGGAAGTAACTTTTCATTTGCTTTAGTGGAAGTTCTTTCCCTTCATTTCATCAAGTTCATACTTGCTATTTAGTATCTAATCAATATCAGACCAAATGTTTAAAGCTATTCAAATGGATTGAAGGTATAAGGCAATATCCTTTATAAGACAACTTCCTACTCATATAAATGTTAGCATTCTTCCATTTACAGAACGTCTTACCACTACAGGCCTTCATACACATTCAAAACGGTATGTAAATCAAAAGTTTCCTATGAACAACTTCTTAGGTAAAGCTAAATATGCTTGTAAATTTTAAACCCCTTCTTTAAAAATCAACGCATAGCTGGCTAGTAACTGCACCATATTTAAACACAGACAGAAATGAGTCATCAAGTTTTCTAATGCTAGCACTTGCTAAAAAGAGAAAGAAATTGCATCAGCAAAGGTGAGCAAGCAGATTGGGGGAGGGCCACACTACCGCGTTTCCTCTCAAAATCAAGGAAGAATTGGCTTGGATACTTTCCTAGGTGCTATGTCTGTAAATTACTTTCAATAACTTGACAGGCTATGTAACAATGACAACTGTTACTAACAGCAATATGGTCGTTAGTGTGTTCTTTGTTCTCCTGATAGAAATTCTGCAAGGTCAGCTATCAGTTTGTATACACCCTGAAGATTGCTACCAGATAAATGTTCAAAAATAATTTTGGACCTTGGGGTTGCCCTCAACTGTACAGAAATTTATTGAAAACCTCCTGTGAACCAGTCCCTACAGGTATAGAAGTGACAGTCTCTGTCTAGCAAGAGACAGCACATAATCCAATGCTTTAAGATATTCCTGCTCAAAAACTTCCCATAAGCAAGTTCATAGGCTTTTCCATCTCATTCCTACTCCTAGCTTTTCCTTTAGTCTGACTGATGTTGCATCATTCTGCAGAAATCAAGACTATGGGCTAAAATGAGAGTATTGTGATCATTATTGTACAGCCCTAACTTTTCTGAACCCCCTTTTTCTTGATGTTTCAGAACCAGGAAAAGATTCCTTCATTATGATGTTGTTCTGAAACCAAAAAGAAATAATATATGTATGAAAATACGTTCATAAATCATAACATAAGGCAGTGCAAACAAAATAAATCCTTCAGTAAATCACTGCCAGCCTTGGGGTCTCCATGACACAATTAGCCATATTTAACCAGGGCAAACCAGTTTTCAACACAGATTACCTGAAAGGATACAATTTTTTTATATGAGTAATACTTAAATATCCTACTTACCATTAAGAATTGCCATGTGTCTCCTGATTCAAATGCATGCACCTACTTCTCATATTGCTATTTATAAAGCTTTCCTTTTTTCTTTTTTTTTCCCCTTTCTGTCCAGGAAGAGCAATGGATTATGATAGTTGCCCATTCTTTCACAGTTAGAGAGTCTGCTAAGGTGAAAGAGGATTTTAAGGTGAAAGAAGCAAGCAAAATAATATATTTTACATAAAATTAAGTTAAACCCAAGGAAACTACACTCAAATAATACTTAAGTTACTGGGACATTCTGAATTGAACTACTCTGCTATCTGTAAAGGCTCATCTGTTCCTTTCCTACCTCAGCGGCACTACCTTCTAATAACTACTCTAAGAAAACATTCTTACAAAGTCTAAGTGTACTGAATAGATTTCCCTTAAGCTATTTGATACTAAGAAATGGAGGCTACTAATGGGAATTGCCATGATGTTTCCTCTTCAGAGAAATGTTCATTATGTATAAAATATAGATCACATGTGTTTATTAGTATAAAATTGTCTCATATGATTTAGTAACTCAAAATATCCTAAATCAAGTAATACTAATAATGTCCGATTGGTAGTTCCAAAAATTCACTAGTCTTTAAATTTAAGAATGCCTGGGTTCTTTATAATAGCATTTTTAAAAAGTGACTGAATACTTAATATATTCCACAGGAGAATATCACCATGGATCATTACTTTTTCTACCCAAATAAACCACCTATTTAAAAAAGGTACCGTTAGAAGAACAGTTATCCAAAATTCCTACTTAATCTGGCAAGAAAACAATTTTGCAAGCAGAAACAGAAAACCGATATAAACTAACAAACTTTGCATATAAACTTTCAAACTACTAAAGGGCTTCAAGACTTAAAAGTATAGTCAAAGAAAGTGCCACTTTTTATGGAAAAGCTTTTTTTTAATTTTAAAAGTAACATTTTGAGAATATTTGCTTTACTCTAAAGAACTTATTTTTTAACATACTGAAGGTATACTGCTCACTCAAAGTAGAAATATGTGATTCAATTATAAAACATAACATGCAAGAGTAAACATACACAACTGAATAGTCATGAAAAAATAGATGATTAATAAAAATGTTTTGTTTAAAAATATTAAGTTCAAGTTGTATGGAAATTTTATACACAAAATCATATTGCATATTCAGAATGACTCTACAATACTCCCTTCTAAAGAACAAATGTTAACTTTAGTTACACTTTTTTAACTTCTCTTTTTCAAAGTACTTTCAAAACTTCACTATTCAAATTAAAATATGATATTTTAACAACTAATTCCAAAAACATGCTATGTAGTCCTTATTGCATGAAATCTTCTTGTGATATATATCAATAAATCTGCTAACAGAAGAGAGTAAAAGAAGTCAATTTAGGAAAAAAAAGTCTCAGTTAAATGAGAGTCAAAGTGGGACCTCAAATTACTATCTTTTTACCCCTCCATCATGTCGTCTCATGTTGTCTTTTAAGACTCAGAGTTCACACTGGTTGTGATACAGCGAAGGCCAGCACTGATGCAATCCTCTTCATCACACCAGAGGGAAATATCTATGCCCACACCTCACACCTATCCCAGGGCTGCAAGAAACACCCTTACAAAAGTGCCTAATATTTCAGCAACAAAGGGAACTCCTGAAGTGATTATTGTGCTGTACTGTTTTGTTGCCTCAATACCAATCAACCACTTAAACTTTAAAAAATTTAAAACCATAAATCAAACTGCCCGTGGACATGTAAGTTTTTAAAAGTTTGGAAAATGAGAAGTAAATATAGCCCCAACCACAGAAAGTCTCCCTCCTCTTCCTACTTCACACAGTCATTCTTCCTGAAATAACCCTAAGCATAAACACAAGCTTTCCCTTCTATTGCACCAAGAAACAATGTCACTTATAGGTATCAAAGGTAACAGATGTTCTGAGGCAAACGGGAAGTCTCAATTCCACCATTTTTATCCATCAGCCTGGTCTTTGTCATTTTCAGTCTGCATACCCAAAGTGCTGGAAGCTTCCGGAGGAGCCAGCTCTGAGGAGCTGCCCTGCCTCCCCTCTGTGAGGGTGTGGAAGGAAGGCACTGCAGCACACAGTGGAGTCCTCTTCAGTTTTATCACTCTGTGGGATGTAGACTTCTTCTCAGAGAGAAGCACCTTTGCTGGAGGGGGGTGTGCGGCTCCATTTTCAGCGTTTTGGGTTCCACGGGAAACTGAAGAATAACCAGATGTTCCCATGCCCACAGGGGACACAGAATACTGAGCTGCTTTTCCAAAGCAGCTGCTTTGAGACAGTTTTGCTGTCACCTGAGAGGAAGTCTGGACAGTATTGGCTGGAGTCACTCTAACTGAAGCAGAGTTTTTTACTTTAATTTGTGTGCTTGTGGAGGGACCCAAAAATCTGACTGGCTTAGGACCAGCCTTGTTCACACCTTCTTCTTCTTCATTGAGGGTTATCAGTCGCCTAGAAATACAGAAGCATGTCTTTTTCAGCACTTTTATTTTTAGTGACTAATAAAAATGTTTCCAAAGTCTACCTTCAGGTTTAACAAAAAGGCTTTCATTGAAAATTAAAGAGTCATCTCTCTTCTCTCACCTAGGTCAATACATAAATTAGAAAGTTTATAGACTGCTTCAACTTGCATACAAACTTCATCTTTTAAAATCATATGCTGACATATGAAAGGTTCTGAGAAGGCCTATAGTAAATTTGCCTATTGAACTTTGCTTCATCTGTATTACTCAGTTACTGTCACCTTTGACAGCCAGTAAAATTTTCATGTTGTGAACACATTTTGGGGGGCACTGCTAGAATGGTCCAAGCCACAGTGTGGTTAGATGTTTTTGAATTTGAGAAGTTCTGGACAGACCTTCAAAGACTTCTGATCTGAGTTTGCCATTCATTATAAACAGCCTAAAGAGAGAACATTTCTAAAAATAACCTGAAAACTGTCAAAACCCTGCCAGCTCCTCCCACTGCTTCCCCTCCCAATTCCCCCACTCTCATTCTTAGAAAAATGGAATCATAGTAGTACAGTTATATGAAAATTTCCACATGTAGCAAAGAATGCCAATATAATATATTCAATCCTATAACTCTACTGAACATAATTGCACTTTCTCTGGCTCCTCATAAGTACTTCTCAGTCATCATTATCATTATCTTGTTATGCATCAAAAACAATGCTTCTTGAAATCCTAGAGAAAAGATTGCTAACACAGAGGACAGTCTCATACGCCATTCCCATCTGCTTTATTTTCTGTCTGCATCTCCCACTAGACTCTACATCAAAGTATCTAGACCTTGACACTAATGACATTTTGGTCAAACAATTCTTTCTTGTGGGGGGTGTTCCCTGTGCATTATAAGATGTTTACAGCATCCCTGACCTCTAACAAGATGCCAGGAGCATTCCCCACCCTACAATGTAACAACCCAAAACGTCTCCAAATACTGCCAAATATCCCCTGGAGGATAAAACCATCCCCAGTTGAGAAACATTACTCTAGACACGAAAATTATTTGCTACTGTTAATTCAAAGGCAATAGAAGTAATGACAATACCATTAGTGTCCTTGAGAAATAAGGTGGGTTTTGACAAGAGATGGTCAACTACTAAAAACTGAATACACATCTCTGCATTTCTGTGAGAGATCCAGAGGGCAAAAGTAAGAAAGTAGTATGAAATTCCTTAGTTATCAACCAAATTCCACAAGTGATCAAAAAAATCAGAATATCTAAAGACCATGAATAAAACCTAGACACTAAAAAAATGTATGATTTTAAATGTATTTAAAACATAGTGAAAGATATGGAATGAATTTTATGCTAATAATTTCAAGAAACACAAGAAAATGCCATCAAATTAAAATGCTATATCAGAGGCAATAGGAAAGAGAAAGGAATTCAGAATAAGCTACAGGAAATTTCAAGTATTAAGTCTAAATAGATTTTTTAACTACTGCCAATAAAGCCTAGGATTTCACTTCTGTGGCGATAAATGTCTACCACAGCATTCTCACTGTTTTCACCAATATTTTTTAAATCACACTCTCCTAATGAGAATGTACTACACATCAGTTTTAAAGAGCCATACCCACTTTTTACAGTTTTGGTAACCTCGTCTTTTCAAAATCTATATAGTAATGCTAAGGCCAAATATCCCTTTAGGCAATTAATAAGCTTAGTAAGGTCAAGAACTATTTCTCATCTCCCCTCTATAAAGATAATAAAAATACCAGCTACAGACTACAAAGGAAAGCAAATGACCACAGATGACCTCTTTCGAATTGGGGCCATGTGACGCAGGTTTCCAAGCAAAGGTCGCTCTTCCAGAGTCCAACACTCTATCAGCTCGTGAGGCACCCGCCAGTAGCTAACACCTTCAAGATAAAAAGACATGATTAAGAGAACCACAATCCTCTGCAAAATGTCGAGCACCACTGCCTAAGACAGCCAGAAGTGTGAGGTTCATGCCTCCCCTTTGATGAAGGGAGATGTGTGTAACATGAACAGGAAGTGTTCACTCACAACTCCAGGGCAGTGCAGTGGCAGTTCATGGCCTGGGTCTAGGAACTGTTGAACACCAACAGGCTTTGCCACGATTAGCTGAGAAAACAGCTCATAACACATGCCCAAGCTGCTGAGTGCGTGCTGGCTAAAGGCACAGGCTCTGGCCAAGACTGCCTGGGTCTAAATCCCACTCCATCAGTCACTAATGTGAGCTTTGGAAAGTTATTTTCTGAGCCTAAATTTTTATTTCCCCTGTGAAATGCTGATGACAACAGTATGTACGTCATAGGACTGTTGTGATAATTAGTGAGTTAATAAATGTGAAGCACTTAAAACTGGCTAAGCACTCAACAAGGTGTTAGGTGCCTTTATAAATCAGTTATAGTATTGTTAACAGCATCAGCATCAAACAGTTATAATTACACCACTTGCCTTATCTACATCATTGGGTGGCTCTGACCATCAAATCAGGCAAACAACTGTAAACAGCACCCATTATGTAAGTAGGAGATATAGATATCAACACCATCTCAAAACAAGAATAATCTAAGTTAATGTGTTAGGCTACAATCCTAGCCAAATTCATTTTTAATTTTTAAATGTGATATTCTTCTGATTGAAAACTAAAAACTGTATTCTTGTGAGCCTCAAAAACATTTTTCCTGCCTATAAAGTAATTAACACTCATTGTACTAAACTGGGAAAATATACAAAAGTATATATAAGAAAGTCAAAATCACTCCTAATCTAAAAACCAAGAAACATGGTTCAGGACATTTTGAAGTATATTATTACAGCCTTTTTTCTATTCATGTGATACGCCCAGAATTGAAAGCACTTTACAGTTGTTTCCTGCTTTTTATAATTTATTTTATTATAAGCATTCTTCTAGAGAGAAACTGATTCAAAATAATCTTAAGTTTTATTATACTCCAAATAATTTTGAATTTTATATATATATATTCCAATAAATAAATAATATGTTCCAAAATAATTCTAATAGCTTTATTCCATCCCATGGCTATATTAAAACATATGTAGCCAAATTTATAATTTTTTTCTTTAAGATTTATTTTGAGCTTATAACTTATTTCCCTATCAAGAAATCAATTATTTGTTTAAATTTCCTTTCAATTTATTATAGTTTCCCCACCCCCCCCTTTATTTTTTTTGTGGTACAGGGGCTTGAACACCTTGAGCCACTCCACCAGGCTTTTTTTGGAATGGGTTTTTTTGAGACAGGGTCTCGCAAACTACCTGCCTGGGCTGGTTTTGAACCACAATCCTCCTCATCTCTACCTCCCAAGTAGCTAGGATTACAGGTGTCAGCCACCAGCACCGGGCTATAGTTTCATTTTTTGTTCATAAATCTACTTGGGATTATTTTGATAAATGATGTTGAGGTAAAGTTTTATTCTTCCTCTCAAGTATATTTCTCAATTACTTATTAAATAATCTACCTCTTTTACACTGATATTTTGTGCTTTTTTTTAAATCACACAGTATTTTTATTCTTACAACTATTGGAGTTACTCTTGACCTCTGCTCCATTCCTATATCAGAACACAATGGGTTTTGCTATTGTCAATCTATAGCACATTTTACTTTCAATTAGCATTAGAATCTACCCTAATTATTTTTACTTCCCCAAATTTTCCTGGCTACATTACCTGTTTATCCTTTCTGAGGAATTTTAGAACCATTTCCTCGAAATTCCCAGAGTTCCACTGATATTCTTGTAGAAATTGTGTTAAATTATAATTTAATATACTCGGTTTAACTTAACATTTAACTTAAATGTCAATTTAATTTAATTGGCACCTTTGTAATATTCTGAGCCACTCCACCAGCCCTTTTTGGGTTGGCTATTTTTGAAACAGAGTCCAAGCCAGCCTGGACCATAAGCCTCCTATCTGTACTTTCCCACACAGCTGCCACTGCATCCAGCCATTAGTTAAGATGGGGTCTCACACTTTTTCTGCTAGAGCTAGCCTGGAAGTGCAATCCTCCCAATCTCTGTTTCCCAAGCAGCTAGGATTAAGGTTTGGGCCACCACATCCAGCCTTCCCATATAATTTCAAATTGATTTATCATGGCTAGCTACTGATTGTCCTATACCTACATTGTATCTAGCTACTTCAGTCTACTAAACTCAACACTTAAAATACTTTCGTTCTTTCGGATTTTCTAAAAAGACGTTTTGTTGATAAATACCATGACTCTGTCTTCTCCCTTACAGTAGATTTTTCTCTGACTTCTATTTCCTGTCTTAGAGACAGGCCTTCCAGAACTTTGTTAAATAACAATATTTCATTACAAGATTTTGAAAGAGTTAAAATCAGTTGCCTGCTTTATAAAAGTGAGTGATCCCTCCTTTTCATTTCAGCTTCCTAAATCAAGTGGATAAAGAAGCCAGGCCAGGGCCCTCCTGGGCATCCTGCCAGGCCAGAGGCACAAGAGAAGACACAGGGAACACTAAGGGGTTTGTTCCTCAACTTGAGCTTAAGTGACTCAAAGCAAATTAAATATCAAATAATAAGCTTAGAGAGAATAGCCCATCTTTCATTATTACATGGTATAACAGGAAAAGGAAAAGTAGAAAAGTAAGGGGGACAAACTTGACGAAAGGAAGGACCAGTGCCAGCACCCGCCTGAGGGGAATGGCATAGAGTTTTTAAAGCCTCATCCTCTCCTTTCATTCATTCTCATGTAATTGACAATTTGTCTCTACTAGCTTTCAAGATCATTTGAGGACTGGGATGTGTCTTATTTATCATTGGACCCAATTTTAGGACTTGTACTTGTACCTAATAAACACCCCATATATAGTTGTTAATTAAGAAAAAAGATACTTAGGCATAGAACAGTTAATCCTCTGTGATTCTTAAGCTGAGACTCGATTTCCTCATCTATCAAATGGGAATAGCAAATAGTACACAGGGTTGTTTAGGACTAAGAGATACTGAATGCAAACTACTTACCACAGTGGGTTTTAAGCAGTGTTATCATTATCAACTCTCAAAGTGTACATTTAAAGATGATTTTAATTATTTTAGACATCTCCTCCAGCATTATTTCCATTGTCTCTCCCTTTCTTGCACATTTATGCTTAATTTAGAAATACACTTCTTAGGACAATGTTAGATACGTGGTCAACCTAAATAAGTACTTGTTAAATTGAATTAAGTAGAACCACATCTGAAGCTACTGAATTACAAATTATCAATAATATCTAGATATTACTGACCAGTAATAATATCTAGCACTCATAGGGTTTAAGAACTTGTAAGTAAACTGCCTCAGTGTCACCTGGACACAGTAAAAAACATACCTTCTTAAAAAAAGAAATACAGCATTTACAATTCCTTTGTCTACCTGCCTCCATGAAATAAAGAATTGCACTGTACCTCTTCCTTCCCAAGCATCAAAAGCATCCATCATTTTCTTCAACTCTGCTACTGAATAATAGCTCCAAATGTACTGAACATTATTTCCCGCCTCTCTAGAAATAGTGCAAAGAACAATGAAAATATATTACCTAGGTATCAACATGTGTACACATATTCAACTCACAGGCATTTGATAAGTGCTTGATAATTAAGGGAAAAATACATAGACACTGAGTAGTTGATCTATGACCCTTAAGCATATGTATGCACTCAGAAATCGGATCATTTACACATCAACATTTGATCTCTTTTGACTATACTGAAGTATTTGTTAAGTTTACAATATAAAGATAAATCAGCATATATTTAAGACAAGGCTTTTTTTTTATCATCTAACCCTAATAAAATTAGAAAAGATACAACTTTGACTAAAACTTTCCTGGCATCATCTAGACTCATATATATATTGTATATAGAAACTTCCTTACTTATAAAGAATTCAGAAACTGATGACATCTCTAGTCATTAAAAAGCAAGATTATGTGTTCATGCATAGTCATTAATCTGCGATGTAATACAATTTCCCACAGAATTAAAAAATAAAAGTTTGCTAAGTAAACTGACCAATATAAATACAATTATAGGAACATATTTACGAGGCCAACCCTTAAGAATTTAGTATGTTCAAGTCATAGAACGCTAAAGCTGAAAGAGACCAGAGAAGGACTTCTTCCTTCTCAGAAGAGGACATGAAGCACAGATTGGCCCTGGCTCACTCAGTGGACCTACTGACCTCAAAGCCAGGGCTTCCATCAGACTATGGTCTAAGGGAGACACTGGGCATACGGCTTTTTTTTTTTTTTTTTTGGCAGCTGGGGTTTGAGCTCAGGGTCTTGTACCTGCTAGGTAGGTGCCCTACTACTTGAGCCACACCCCCAGACCTTTTTGCTTTAGTTATTTTTCAAATAGGGTCTTGCATTTAAGCCAAGCACACCTGGATGGTGATCATCCTATTTACACTTCCTATACAGCTGGGAAGGCAGGCATGCACCACCACACCCAGTTTTTATTGATTGAGATGGGGGTCTCACTAAGTTTTTGTTCAGGCTGTCATTGAACCACCATCCTCCTGATCTCTGCCTCCCGAGTAGCTAGGATTACATGCATAAATCATCATGTCTGCTTTCTTTTCTCCTCTTAAAGGCCTCTCAGGAACTCTGATGCTCACTCCCTGTTGAGAATCACTTTTCTGGATCACACACATGGTCCACAACTCTTATCTTTGTGAAATGGTCTTAATTATAAGCTGCTCCTGAAGCACCCTACAGCTCTGAAGGCTCACTCTCTGTTGAGGCACATTGATGTCTCTTCTAGTCAAGCACAGAATTTCATTCAATAACACCTCTTAAAACAGACCAAGACTATTTTGTTCATTTTCACATTTAAACTTGGACATACCTTTTAAAAATGCTTTTACTGTGAATTCTTCCTCCCAGCTGCTTATCAATAGCATCTGTTCCATCAGTTTTTGTGGCATATACACCAATAATTCTACTCTCACAGCTTGCACCAGATGTGTTAAGGTAGTGGAGAACCCAAACTGTTGGTTTATTGCAAACTAAGCCATAGGAATCACAGAAGTCTGTTAAAGCCTAAAGAAAAAAAATTATATATATATAATATATACATATATTATATATATAATATGATTTAATTATGGAGTAAAATAAAGAATGAATGTGTTCTGTTATGTTCATGTAAAGTTGCAATACGAGATGGTCATAAGGGAAGATTACTATAGTTCAGTCTAGTCTTTCAAAATATATGTGATGAATTAATTGGAGAGAGGGAGGAAACAATCACCAAAAAATAATAATAATAATAATAATACCACCCCAAAACCTAACAACTTTTCATTTAGAGAGTCCTTTTCCACATGGAAATTCTATTTCATCTCCTCTTTTAATTTTGTAATCTTCATGTAATAACTAAAAGTTAGGTCTTTTCTTTTCCCTTTAGAATTTTTCCCAAAAATTTCTCATTTTGACTCAATCTTCCTTTCACTTTCTACTCACTAGCCTCTTGGTTGGTCCATATTGTTAACTCCAAATTCCAACCATGGATTAATAGGATTCACTTGTTCTTTTACACTGAAAGATAGACATATGTGAACTCAATACATACTGTCTGAACACATTTGGCAGTTATTCATGTATTCATTAATTCAACTGAGTAATAAGTACCCACTATATGCTGAGCACTATCTATGATCCTAGAGATATAATGGTGAACAAGAAGAGTCAGGGTCCCAGTTCTCTTAATTTATAGCTAATAATGAGCCATCAGCACACCATGTAATAAGTACTACTACCTGGTGAGAAGACACAATGCTATAAGGTGCAGAGCAAGGGCCTTCCCTGGCAGAAATGGCATGACTGCTCTAAACACCCTCAGAACAGGTATCTTTGTCTATTTTGTCCACATATGTATACCAAGAGTCTGGAACAGCAGCCAACACAAAGGAGATGCTTAGTTATTAACTAACTCAGTAATAAAACCAGAGCCCTGACATGGCTTGCTTGTATTTGCATTTAATATTGCTATCTAACTCCTACACTGGGTCTTACTCTACTTGTCCATCTGTAAGAATTCCCAACTATAGTATAAACTGTTCAAGGGCAAGAACTAGATACTGCATTTCTTGGTGTCCCTCACAGTTCCTATACAGTCCAATCCATGTCACAAAATTTGAAATAAACATGTGTTGGCTGATAGAATAAATATGGGCTTGCTTATTCCTTTTTTAATACAAACCAGGAATAGAAGACTACAGAGTTGGGATTCAGAAAATGAATATTAACCCTCTCCAACATTCCAGTCAGACTTTTTTAACCACTTTCTGCAGATGTGATAAATAGCACTGAAAGACTATTATCTGACAATTAAATTTATGAACAACTTCAGTAGTAGAACTCATTCATGCATTCGAATTCCTGAAGGGGATCTGAAACCAAATCAGATTTCTCTTTGTGCTGCACTCCTAATAATCAAGCGTCCATCACCTTGCTTCCTCAACCCTGACATCCAAATCAAAGAATTCAGCCAGTTCAGATCAATTTTCAATATTAACAATTATCCAGGGAGATATTTTTCTTAGGTGCTAATAAATAGCAAATATAAGCAAATATGACAAAGGCAGATAATGAAGCTTTTCAAGTCATGTAAAGATCTTTAAAATGTGATTTTAAATAGAAACATCTTAAAAGGATTTATCATTCTCAAAGTGAATTAACCAAACCTATGTTCTAATTTAGTAACTAATCATTAACTCACTAAATGAGGTAAGAGATGTCATTTAGCATGACTACTCCTCTAAAACATGATTTTCAAAAACAAGAACATTATCATCATGCCCTCGTACACTACAGTCATTTTCTCATTTCAAAAAGAAGATCCGTTCTCCCTCACATGCGGACATGAGGTCAAGGCAAACACAACAAGGGGACTGGACTTCGAGCACATGATAAAGCGAGAGCACACAAGGGAGGGGTGAGGATAGGTAAGACACCTAAAAAACTAGCTAGCATTTGTTGCCCTTAACGCAGAGAAACTAAAGCAGATACCTTAAAGCAACTGAGGCCAATAGGAAAAGGGGAACAGGTACTAGAGAAAAGGTTAGATCAAAAAGAATTAACCTAGAAGGTAACACCCACGCACAGAAAATTAATGTGAGTCAATGCCCTGTATAGCTATCCTTATCTCAACCAGCAAAAACCCTTGTTCCTTCCTATTATAGCTTATACTCTCTCTACAACAAAATTAGAGATAAGGGCAAAATAGTTTCTGCTGGGTATTGAGGGGGTGGGGGGAGAGGGAGGGGGCGAGGTGGGTGGTAAGAGAGGGGGTGGGAGCAAGGGGGAGAAATGAACCAAGCCTTGTATGCACATATGAATAATAAAAAAAATAAAAAGAAGATACATCATAAGCACATATGGAAATGTCACAATGAATCCCCCCCACATAATATATGCTAATGAAAGTGTTTTACATTTTTTTAAATAAAAAGAACTTCAAGCAAGCACAAGGCCCTAAAGTCAATCTCTAGTATCACAAAACAAAAAATTTTAAAAAGCAGAATACTTCTATTAAAAAGTCATCAAAAATCCCAAAAATGAGAGAAAAGACCACAGTTTGAGGCCAACCACGGCAAAAAGTTAGCAAGACCCCCATCTTAACAAACAAGTTAGGAATGGTGGTACGTGCCTCTGATTCCCTGCATGTGGGAGACTTAGGTAGGAGGATCACAGGCTGAGACTGGCCAGAGCAAAAAGTGTCAGACTCTATCAGAAACACTAAAGCAAAAAAGGATTAGGGGCATGGCTCAAGTGGCAAGCACAAGGCCCTGAGTTCAAACCCTAGTCAGTACTGCCAAGGAAAAAAGTCAGGAAAACCTGTCAAATCTTCAATGAAATATATAAAATACCTTTGAATGACAATGTAATATACTTTCCTAGAATCAAATTTTGGCCTTAAAACATGAATATGACTAATTAAGAAATGTGTTCAAAAATCATAAAAACTGTCTCCTTCTATGCAAACTAATACTTTGTGCATAATAAATACATATATTTTTTTTAAAACTTGAGAAAATGCCAAGACCTTTTTAAGTTCTATATTTGACCTTAAAGAATATGTCTCCATTTCATTGGCCAAGTGGTCAGACAAGCTGTATGGGTAAGGTATGCCAAAGTAATCAGCTTCTTCCTGCAGAGCAACTCGAGTCTGCTCATCTGTGGGAATCTGAACTTCTCCATGAAGATAATCCAAAAGGTACTTAAATAGATGTCCATCACGGTCAATAACACAAGCCCCTAGAAGACATTCAATTTGAAAATGATTGCACAGATTTAGACAATGATCAATAAAACTTCAATGAGTCAAATGAGGTTTGACAACCTCTCCAATTATAAACATTACTTCTTCCCAAGAAAATTAACATCTAGTGTTGAAATAGGTTTAGTCAATCAAACTAAACTACACTTCTGATGTTTCATAAGAACAGTAAATATGATATACTAAGCAACTCTCAACTTACAAATAAGCCATAATCTAAAAGTGAATTTGGGTTGCTTGGGAAAATCATTTGGCTTTCAACAACACTGCATGTAAGTCTGAATGCAAATATATGTATCACCAAGGTTGCCATGTTGTATGGGTGAACTATGTACAGAGGGGCTAGGCCAAGGGGGTGAGTGTGGCTAAAACCAAGCCCATGCTTCACTCAGAGCCATGTATCATGCATGTATCTTCCTGGATAAAAGTGCACCCTTTTCTTTGCACAAAGAAATTATGTGGGTTAGTGGTAGACCTCTGTATTCTTACCCAGAATACATGAAAATGTATTAAAAGTTCACCTGGAACTCTAGATGCAATCATTGCATTCCACTATGGCCAGATGCAAAAGCTAAAACTGTTGGTAGAAAGGAAGCTTGCCCCTAACCTCAACCCAGCTAGACAAGAATGGGTATACGGAGTTGCTCCGTACTAAAAGAGGGCATGTGGGATGCTCACCACCAGGTCCAGTGTTTGAATGTCAACTACACTGCAAACCTGGTGTTCTTAGCTCTAGGTATGCCCATATTTGGAACTGTTGGGTAAGTCCCTTTAGGGTATGAGAATTTTCACTTTAAAAGAGAAGAAATGATATGTTGGTACCACTTCATGATAAAAGACTTTTCTTGGATGATTTAGCAAAACTGGAAAAAAAAAAGCTTCTGCAGAGGGTTATTCAATACTCAATAATTCCTTTCTACCCAAGTAGACATCAAGGCCTTGGTACCAGCCATCAGTGATTTTTCCATTCTTTCAACTGTCATGTCAACCTTCTAAGACTCAAGTTATTAACAGCAGAACAGCCTCTCATGCTCAGGACTTCTCCAGTCCTCTCCTCTAACACAGATCAGAGTGGATTCTGGGGCTCACAGGTTATGTAAAAAGATAGTGCAGAAAACCCCTCTTGGAAGCCACTGGTGGAGTGGTTTAAGTGGTAGAGTGCATGCCTAGAAAACCTCTCTTGGGGTGATAAGTTTCTTTACAAACAGCAGTGGTTTCAGTGTCTCTAACAGTACTTGAAACAGGAGAACAGCCCCAGAACCCTAATCTTATGTTCTACAGTTTCTTCTAAAACATAAGTTTGTCCTCTGTCACTGATTGATGGACAGTATCACAACACTGCTATTTGTCAGCCATGCATGTCAGCCCACACAAGACTACACAAGTCAGACCAAGTATTGAACACAGCATTAATTCTATGATGACTTCTCTGTCAGTTATGAAGGCAACTGTTTCTCCAGAGAAATTATTTTTCTTACTTGAAGAACACAGAGAGAAACTAGTATGTTTAATCAGCCTCAATACCTTTACCCATAGTGTCACATGAAAGTAACAACTTTCAAAATGTAGTTCACCGGCATAACTGGGCCTCGGTTGGCCTTTATGGACTCTCACTTCTTTGTCAACTTTTAGCAACAGCATCACAAATTTTAGAAACCAGTATTTAATCTCTCTATGTACTAAATAAATCTCCATACAGTCCTAAAAAGCTCAGTAATTAGTAGACTAATATAATGCATTCCAATGTAATTAGGAAAATCAAAAGGAATTTAAAATACATTCCTATGTTAATGATTATTCATGATCACGCTTCCGGACTTGAGACATTTACCTGATTCATCTGTTTTTAGAGGAAAACGACCACTGAACATAGATGCCAGCATAGAGTCCTTAAAGCGGCACAAAGACTCTCGCCGGGCTGTGTAAACACAGCCACCTACGTTTAGTCTGAGAACATCCAGCACCTCTTCTTCAGCCTTATGGTCAGCCATCGCTCCCTTGGACACCTAAAGCTTTGCCTCACACTTTCAGAAAGTTCAGAAACAATGGCAGTGCCAGACCGCCTCTGTAAAAACAAAGAACAATCATCACTGACATTTCCAACAATAAATGAATAATAAATTTATTTTAACCTGATTTCAAATATATTCTTCAGAACTGCAATGCCTAATTAAATGATACCATATAATATGAAAGAAATTGAAGATACGCCAAGAAGCTGAAAAACTTTGAGGATTTGTAACATAATAAATTATTGTCAAACAAATCACAGCTGAAATGACTAAAGATAACACAGAGAGGGGATGTGAGTGTAACTCAGTGGTAGAGTGCTTGCCTAGCATGGTAAAGGTCCTGGGTTCAATCTCCAGCACCATAAAAAAAAAAAAAAACAGAAAGATAACAAAATGTCCATCACTTATAAAGCAAAGCAAAGCAAAGGTGTGCCTGCAATCTCCAGAATTCACATATCATTTTAACTACAATAAGTCTGAAGGAACCATCTAGATTTCACCCTTACTAGCTCTGGGACCCTGGACATATTACTCATCTTCCTCTTCTTGTTTCCTCATCTATAAAATGGAGGCAGCAATGGTGTGAACTATCAGAGGAGTAATTAACATAACTTATAAAAAGCATATAGAACAGTCTCTGGCTCAGAGTAAGTATGCAATAAATGACAAATATTATGTATAATGATACAAAGTTTACCATAAGGTATATAATGAGGAACTAGATAATGACTGTGGAGATTTAAAGAAACAAAAGAGCAGAAATTATTAACTATGATCATTGTAATTCTTAAGTTATATAACTAAGTAATATATCACTTATCAACTGAGACTAGAATTCTAGTTATACCAGTAACAAGACCAGTCTAGAACTACAAATGACACCTCTAAGTCATCCAACTTCTTTACTCTAAAATGGCTGACGTTTGGGGGACATTTTAAAGATTTGATCTTAATCCATTCTGGATACCATTAATCACAGGTTACTGTGGTGTTTCTAATAGAATGTGAAATGGTACCCTGCTGAAAAAGATACTCTTAATACACATTACCCATATGTTTCACAGCAAGTGTAAAATGGCTGCCAAGGGCTCAACAACATTCATGTCAATTCACCTTTACTAAGTGCCTAACTACAATCCTGTTCCTAGATGCTCCAATTTAGCCAGTTGCCAATAAAGTGAGAGAAGACCCTTAAAATCCAAGGAGGCCATATGTATAGAACATAGTCAGTGGACAGAAACCATTAGGAACCAAAGGTTCAGTCTTCTAAAACCACTCACTCATGTGACTTCTTGCTGCCCAGAAGTCCTGGGAGCAACGCTCCAAAGATCCTTGTAAGAGAACCTCCTCTGAGGCATAGATGGAACCCATTCATGCTGCTCCGGTTATCGGCACCCTGTCTATTCTTGAAGGACCTGAGCAAACCATTTCTTGCCCGACGTCCCCAAGTACACCCCCCCACCACTAGAATCCTTGCACAGGTCTACACATGGACTTTCCTGTCCACGTTTCCACATTTTATTCCACTTGTTTAATTCCTTTTTTTTTTTTTTTTTTTTTTTGGTTTGTAAGCCCAAAAAGGTAGGGACAGTGTCACTCTTAACTCCCATACTGAACACTTACTATGTGTCACTCACTGAGACACTAGACAGACATTATCTAATTCCCACAGAACCCTTCTGGGGTAGAAATTACTGTCCCTATTATCAGGTGAGAACACTAAGGTAAAATATCGAGTGACGTATGCAGGACCCACACAGGGTTGCTGCCATTAAGGGGTGGAGCCAGTCACAATCCAGGGCAGCAGGGCCAACCTCAAGTTCTTCCTGCTGCTGGACCCCTGTGGCTCCAGACCCAGGCCTCCCTCACTAAGCAGCCGCCCATCTGAAGACCGGTGGCTTCGGGTTCACAGCGGCACCCCGAGTCCAGGGGGCAAGGGCTACTCTCCCACTGCACCCAGGCGGTCTCTTCCAAGGCGAAGGACCATCTCCAGCTCCAGGCCAGACCTGAGGTGGCACTCCCCGGTCCCCATCCTTGGGTACACCCGCCTGGGCTTCCTGCCGTGTGGAAAGTGCCCAGGCCTCGGGAGCAGTGTGCCCAAAGCGCGGTCCTGGGACTGCCTGCATCAAAACCATCATGGACGCTTGCTGAAAATGCAGGCGCCCAGGCCCCAGCAGCGTCTGGTTCGGAAAGTCTGGGAAGGGTCGTTTTTCCCCCGCGGACCCCACTTTGAGAAACACTGCTCACGGGACTCACACTCCTCCCCGGGGCGGGGCGAAAAGGGAAGGTGGGAAACCAGAAAGCCCCGCGGCCGGGGGACCCCGATTCGGCCCCAAGCCAGAGCCTGCAACCCGGGACGCCCGAGTCATCAGCGCTGCCGGGCGATCTCCTCGGACGACGCGCCGGCCCCTGGGCGGGCGGCCCACTCGGCGCCCCACTCCTCCACAAGGGCAGGCTGGGCGAAGACCTCCGGACTAACCTGCGACCGCCCGACCCTCGGCGCGGCCGCCCGACGCCCCGGGGCCCAACGCGGAAGTAAGCGCCTCTTCGGCTGCTCGGCAACTCGTGTGACACAGCTGCCCTGTGGCGCCCCCGTGCGGCCCGGTCCGGCGGCGCAGCAGGAGGAAGGGAAGCCGCGCCCCGGACACGCCCCTTCCCCCGGAACGGCCCCGCCCCTCGAGCGTCAGGTCCACCGAAGGGATTTGCCCATCAGGGCCCCGCCTCTTTGGCGCACTGGAAAAGCTGATCAATGCCAAGGTATAGAAATGTATTGTACTTGGGTGTGTCCATTTGGGTAGTGTTTACAGTTTACAAAACTTCTTCACACATAGCCTTCTTGTTTAATTTAATCTGTGACACCCCGTAAAAGGTAATATTTTTATTCCTGTTACAGCAAGGAAAATTGGGGCAGGAGCAAACATTTACTGAACACTTTCGTACCTCTGACACTGTGCTAGGTCCTTTGCAGAACTACTTATTTTTTTTCTTGTTAATCCCCAAAGAGTTTCTTTGGTTTCCATCTGCACCCTACTTTATGCAAGGGGCTGTGCTAGGAATTTCAAGAAGAATAAACAAACAGTCCTGCTTTCAAGGCACTTCCCCAGAGTAGGTACTAATTGGTTCTTAATTACTCTGCCTGGGTCTTACAAAGGGAGAAGCCAATGAGAACCAGTCTACCCCCTCAGCTATTTATAGTGTTAAGAAATGCAGAAGGGTGGTTCTATCTGTAATCATCTAGCACAAGCTATGGACCAGGAACTGGGAGGGAAGGGACTGAAACAATGTAGCTGACCCACTCATCTTACAACCTAGCACAGTGCTCAGAAAACTTTTTTCTGTAAATATCTCAGACTTTGTGGGCTATTCACGACTGATGGATTGTGTTGATGTAATGTGAAAGCAGACACAGACAACACATATATGAAGAGCATTGTGTTCCAACTTTATTATGGAAACTGAAATTGAAATTTCACATACTTTCCCTATGTCATGAGTCTTTTAAAAATGTGACTTTCCCCCCCAAAACATTTAAATATGTAATATCCATTCTTAGACCATAGAAAAAACAAATGGCAGCCGATGGGCCATAACTTGCCTTCCTCTGTTCAAGTGGGAGAAATAAGCACCCACCAAAATAGAGAGTGGTAACTTCTTGGGAACTAGACTAAAAATAATATTTGGTGGAAATAATAGCTTGGGTGGAGAAGTCTTCACTGATGAGGGGACATACAAGTGAGAGCTAAAAATGAGAATGAATCAACTTTCTGAAGAAATGAAGGGAAAATACCTTAGGAAGGAGGGAGAATAAGTGGAAAGACCTTGAGGCACAACAGGACTTGGCAATTTGCAGAAACAGAAAGGAAAGGAGTACATCTAAAGATTGATGTGCAATGGGATGCATGGGAAGGGAACAGGAAATGAGGTTGAAGACAGAGGCAGGTAGAAGCTGGGTTTTAAGGCATTTTGTGACCTAAGCAAGAGTTTACATCTTAATCTAAGCATAATGCTAAGCCACTGACAGGTCTTAAACAGGGAAGTAAAACCATCAATTACTGTTAAAACTGTTATGGCTACTGAAATGGTAATGTATTGGAGAGGTATAAACTAGAAACAGCCATCTGTTGCTATAAACCAGTAGAGGAAAGTCATAGCATCTACTTGAGTTGTGATGGCAATAGAGAGTGGATGGATGAATGCATGGGATATGTTTAGGAAATAAAAATGACATAAAACTTGCTAATGAGTCAACTATAATATGTTAATTCAGATCCTCTAAGAAGCAGACAAGATTGGACTAGACATGCAAGAGATTTATTGAGGGAGGACTATGGGGGTGTGGTTCAAGTGGAGAACACTTGCCTCGAAAGCACAGGCCCTGAATTCAAACCCCAGTACCACAAAAAACAATCTTGGGGAACAGTAAATGCCAAAATCTAAATGATATTGTCTTAATCAACTTCTTAAACCTAACCAGGTGCCTCTAAAAGTGATGTTCTGAGGACATGAGTGACCTCAACCAGGAGATCCTCCTCCCAAATAAATAGATACTAAAAAATTTAAAAAGAGATTTATTGAAGGAAATACCTATGAGGGAATAATAGGGAAGCATCTGAGGGGAACTGAGACAGACATTAGATGGAGATAAGTGTAATCCCTGAAGAGAACAAGAAAGGAAGAGTAGAAACTTGTACACATGAGGGAATTCTAAGAAAGTTTCAACAAATCCAATGGGGAGTCTTCAAGCCAGAGTTCTCCATCAGAAAAGTTCCATATTTCTCAGGAATGGGCCGATCTTAATATTCCTGATATGCTTAAGTTGCTGGCTAGGAGCCCTCCATGAAAAGTGCAGCATGGAACATGATGATGGATTTCAGAGCACAGAGGCTGGGCAATTAATCAACAATGCTCCCTGCAACTGGAAATCTGAGAGGTGTATTTTCATGGCTGCCACATATGGGAAATAAAGGAAATGGGGAAGGCAGGATAGACTCTATGGACTGTTAACTTAAAGAACTGAATGATGGCAAATTTACTAAGATGTCCATTATAGGAATGGAATGGATTGATGGAAGAGATCAGAAATAGAATGGATTGAGGGAAGAAACCAGAAGGGCGGTTTGTCCAATGACAAAATGAATATTAAGTTTGAATGTTATAAGTTTCCTTTAGTAGCATCTAGCCAAGGAGAATATGGTGACAAGTTCTAGATGATAAGAAAACGCTGAAAGGCAGAGTCATCAACATTTAATTCTAGATGATATATCTAAGCACCGGCCTGAGAGGCCTTGCAATTCTTCCCACACATTATTGCCTCCAATATGTCTGTCCATAGATCAGAATAGACTACTAAGATTCGGATTTTTGAGAGCTATTCACATAGAGAAATAGCAATTGAATGAATCTGGGGCTCAGGAGTAACGTTCTGTGATGAAGAAGTAAATTTCAAAAACATAAACATTGAAAGCCATGAAACTGAATGAAATCATCTGCAGAAAGGGCAATGAGTCGGGATGAAATGTTGACTCCAATACTTAGAGGCCAGATTAGAAGGGAGAGTCAGAGGAGGGGAACCAAGACAGTATGGAGTTATAGGACCCAAGAGAGCAAAGGGTCACTGGTTATTGTCAAATACCACTGAAGGATTAAAGTCCATTAGATTTGGTAATATGGGAATTCTTAATGACCTTGGCAAGAGCAGTATCAATGCTGGGTTAGTCAGTTTTCCATTACTGTGACAAAATACCTAACAACTCTTAAGGAGGGCAGACTTATTTTGGCTCTCAGTTTCAGAAGTTTCAATCCATGGTCACTTGGCTTCATTTCTTTGGACCTGTGGCGAGGCAGAACATCATAGTAGAGAGTGCATGCAGAACAAATCTATTTACCTCATGGTACCCAGGAGCCTGAGAGAGAGAGAGAGAGAAAGTAAAAGAGAGAGAGAGAAAAACTATTAAAGGTTCCACCACCTTCCAATAGTGCTACAGACTAGAAACCCAAGCCTTTAACATGTTGCCTTTGAGGAACATTTAAGATCCATTCCATATCAAATGCTATGGTGAGGATTCAAACACAGATAAAGGTAAGTTGCAGAGAGAACAGGGATGGGAAGCTGGATATAACTCTTTAAAGAAACTAATTATGCAACGAACAGGGTATGCAGGGAAAAGGGGTCAAAGTAGGGAGTTTAGCATGGGAATCACTAGAGCAGATGTGTGATGAAAGTGATCCAGTAGATAGGTGGAGTGCTGAGGCAGGAGGGAAAAAGGACAACTGAAAGAATAAAATATGTGACCAAGCAACAGGTACCAGAGCCAGAGCAGAAATGGAGGAATTTCTGTTCAGTGTGAGCAGGGACAAGAGGCAAAACAAAGAAGATAGAGTTACATTCTTGATAAATTGGTAGATTTTACAGTGTGAAAATGAGGAAGTTCTGATCAAACACCTCTGCTTTCTCAACTTCAAAGCCATATTGGAGGCAAAGGTGAAGGAAATAGTGGGAAGAAGAGGATTGAAGAAAGAAGACAAAGTATGAATTATGTATTGTGGAAATTGAAAAGCAAATTTCATACAGAAACGTGGTAGGTGTAATATGTTCTAACAAGTAAAAATAACACAACTAAAAGCTGAAAAAAAGGAAAATAGAATAAACTCCTTGATTGTCATACAGGAAATACATAGAGCTTTAAGCTAACAAAGTGACAAATCAGATCATAAAAGGTCAAGTAACAGGAAAGTAAGGTCTTAAAGTTCAAAGACAACCAGTAGAAAAAAACTATACTTTTTCCTAAATATGAAAAAGACATTTAAAACTAGAAAGTCAGATAAAATGTATCATGTACAGAAGCTTAGAAAATATAACATATTAAGATTATTATTACACAAAATAATTTTACCATAAAATAATAAGCTGAGCCTAAATAGTTCATATTAACAAATACAAATGAATTTAAATTATCCATTAAAAGGAAAAGATTTTTTTTATTTTGTCTACAAAGTAAGACAATGAAAATAAGAGACATCCTAAATCAAAATAATTCATAAAGTATAAAACTAAAGGGATAGGCAAAAGTATATGCTAAGCAAGTGGAACAAAAAGAAAGCAGGGCCTGACATCAAAGCAGAATAAAACAAAATGAGTCAGGATTACCCCCTAACCATTCTTTCCTACTTTCCCTCACACACACTTTTCTCTGCTCCTGTTCTTTCTAACTTCAGGAGCTTCAGACATGCTATTCCTTCTTTCTAGACCACTCAGCCTCCAAATAGTTCATCATTCAACTTCAAAGATACTTCCTCATATGAGATTTTTTTAGCCCCTTCATTCTCCTTGAACTGATTCCCCCTCTTGCCCTCTGCTACTGACTGAATTGTGTCCCCACCCCCAAATTCATTTAAGAATGCATTAAATGACACAAAGAAGGACATGCTTAGTGTTACAACGTAATAGTTATGAATTCTATCCACCAAATAATTCAGCAGCAACCTTTTAAAAGCAAAAGCTATAGGATATGCAAAGAAATATTGACAGAAATATTGGGAGACTTTAATATACCACTTTCATACAAAACAGAC